AAAATTTCGGATTGTGCCAACCCGGCACGACAATGAGCTGGCTGTGACCGGGCCTACTAAGGTCAGACCATTTTTGGCCGCCCGATTAGTAGATTAAATATATTTTGAAATAAATAATTTTATAAATATATTAACTAATAAATATATGTCAAAATGAAGATATAATCTAATGATTAAATTCTAATGATATACAATTACTATATATAAGAATTGGACACAAAATGCAAGTAATATAATGTAATATGACAAAGAAATTATATTTAAAAAGAGATTTTGAATTAGATATGGTATATGCTAACTATGTTATAATTCGTCAAAAGATTTGTATGCAAAGTAAAAACTAACTGGGGGCTGGAAATTTAATGACAAATAAGATTGAGGCTGTTATTGTATATCGGAATATATTGTAAAAGTCGTGATCGACGAAATTCAAACAAAATACGAATTACATAGAATTTGATACTTGATATCGAGCCTCGCATTGTACGCGAACTCCTTGAATCGAATTTGGATTACCACCGATTGTCTCCCAAATAGAACGAAGCAAATGAAATATCATATTATACGAACCAAACAAGAAAATAAAAAAGTTTATTCTAAAATCGTTGATGAATTTTTTGAGGATCAAAAGGATAGTTGGTTTTCTAAGGAAGAAACATCATGTGAAAATTAAAGAGAAAAGGTGTTTGTATCATATTTTTATAAAAGAAAAAAAAAAAATCTTACAAAATTAGTTGTATATTTTTTAACGGGAAGAAGATTTAAAACCCACAAAATTAGCAACCCTCCCAACTTTCTTTCTACAAATTGCAAATATGTTGCAACTAAATTTTATTATCCAATTTATTTGACTTTTTAATTAGGTAAATAAATAAAATTCGTATAAAATATAAACTTGTACTCCTTCCGTCCCAAACAAAGTGCAATATTTATTTTTAGCACGAGTTTTTAGGTGGATAGTATTAAATATAATAATTTAGAAATTAGGTGATGTGATGGAGAGATAAATATACATTTTATTTTTTTATTTGGATGATATGAGGGGATAAAGTGTGGGATAGAGATTAAGTATAATTAATTATTTTCTATTCTAGAAATATTGCAGGATATTTAAGACATACCAAAAAGAAAATGTTACAGGATGTTTGGGACGGAGGGAGTATTTAATTTGATTGGACTCGGCACACTGAGCCCCCACAGCCCAAGGCTCAATTTTAACTATTATTATAGCCCAAGGCCAAGGCCAAGTAAGCCCAAGCCCAATCAAGCCTTTGGCCCACCAATAATTCATTTCCATAATTTTGGGACAAATACAATTTATGGAATATTGAGTTGCTTTGTGTTTCTAGTGTGAGAAAATATTACTTGACAATTTAAATGTGTCCAATATGATAAAAATTAAAATATTTTCTAAATTTAAATAAGTTAAAAATATATTAATAAATATATAGTTAAGTACCCAATATACTACTTTATTTTTATTTTTCATTTCCAATAAATAGCCGAAAAATCATTGTTTTATAGAAGGATTTGATAAACCCATAATAATATAACGGTTATTCGGTCACTTTCATATTCCTACTATACGGCCCCTATAATCAATACGTGGATAGTCGATATTGTCGCCATTGACCACAAGATACCCCATAGTCTATGACAGCGAAGATAGGAGTCTCCTGTCTAGCCCTATCCCTTGTAATGTAGTAGAATCGAGTTTCCTGTCTAGCCATATCCCTTGTAATGTAGTAGAATCCGTGCAACCTAGAATCACCCAAGGGAAATTAAGAAACTCTACTGTTCCTCACACCCCTAACGAGATCACATTTGGAGTTTGACATATGATCCTAAATTACCGGTAGACCTCACAAGTGGCTAACCCAATGAGTTGTGACACCCCCGTCCTCAAGCCACGCAAATCTGGGTGTGTCGGGATGTCGTAGACTGGCTCCAAGTCAACACGAGTCCTTCCAGCGCACTTCTGTTCTCACTCACGCCCACCTTGGGAGATTTCTCAAAGGGTCACCCATCCTCACGTTATTTTAGGGCAAACACGCTTAACTCTAGAGTTCTTTCAGTACAGTTCCCGAAAAGAAATGTACACATTATTGACATGAGTAGTCTATTCAATCTATTAACCTATATTCAACATCAGATGACCTGGCACCGACTCATTCACGGGAGTTGGCCTAGCACCGGCCCAACTCCGGGGGTATTACATGAGTAAAACAACACCTAACACGAATGATTAGACCAATACATCTCAACTACAATAGGTCTAATCCCTGAATAACCGTGCAATTAAGTCATCCAGTTGTCCGACTACTATTATCTACTATTACCAAAGTGTTACGGTACATCGGAGTCGAATATCCTAACCTCATATTATGCCCTCGTCTAGCACTACCACACATAACTACTAAACGATAGATCCATAAAAGATATCCGATAAACCGTGCAATATGTGAAATAAATGAATTTACCGAAAAAGGTTGGTAAGACAACTCACTTATTCTCCTTTTCAGAAATTCACTGATACGATCAAATACATATGTCAAATATCATCAACTAGGAAGTCTCACACATGTATACATACAGACCTATATAGTTATATACATGCATTGACAATCTTATCCACATAATATCACAATAACATAATAATCATAATCATAATTGTGCACATGCATACCTAATTTTTTAAAATTATAATTAATTTCCTACTACTTACCTTTTTATCAGCACTCTTTGGCTTTTGTAATTTCACCCAAATCTTCTCAATGTACACCTGTCATATTATTTACTCAAATCGGATTAATTATATTCTTATTCATAGGAGTTACCTGCTTATTCAAAAGCTAATTTCTATAATTAGCTTGTCAGAATTCAAATTGTTTTTTAATGGTAGAATACTATATTCTGACTATAAAACTCTTATACCTCCAAATATTTATATCGTCCGATTATTAATAAAAATCCTTAAAAATATGAACAAAGAGGTAGGTGCAATACACTACCACTTTCAATTTGGCTTAGATTGATACAAAATTTTCAAAATGTAACACTAGGGCTACGAATAGGCTATTAGCTAAAGAAATTCGTCAATTAAATGACTAAAAAGCTAATTATGAATTTCTAAAAAAAATTTAATTTAATATCTCAATATTTAAATTCATATTAAAAACTATAATTAAACTCTATATATTTCAAAAATTATAATACCAAAATTGATCTTAAAATTAAAATTAGACGACTAATTATTTTTTCCTCCTTTCTTCTTTTCCTTTTCTTTCCCCTGTACGTCTTCTTCCTCTGCTCAAGGTAAGAATGGGTGGTTTGTTTATTATTTCATTTACTAAATATATATAAATTTTATTGAATTGTTAAAATTAATTTTTGTTATATAATAATTAAATTATTTTTAATATGAATTTTTATATAAAAATCATTTGAATAACTTCAATTATTTTTTGCGATCAATTTTTAGTATTCTAATATTGAAAATTGATTGATTTTAGCGATTACATATAAATATTGCAAAAATAATATGTATATATAATATTAGTCTCTATTTATATTTTTATAAGAAATTTTTAAAATTATAATTTAATTAAAAATTGTGTCGATAAGAAATTTAAAATGTCTGAACAAAGTCAAATTTTATTAACTTGTCACTGTCATTTTAATATAACTAAATTATAAAATAATTTTTTCATTCGGAATAATTATGCCGTATTTTTTATCTGTTAAGTTATGCATAATTCATTTATTATAAAAAATTATCCACCCACAATTTTATTCTCCTTAGTTCTTAGTCTTCATGTCCGGATAATATAACACAAAATCCCGACGAAAGCAGTAAAAAATAATGTATAATCTACTTGCATATTTTATATTGAACAATATATATTTATATCGGCTAATTTAAATGTTATTATAAAAAATTTGATTTATTGTCTTCTCAATATATTTATCTTTCTAATATTATATATATCTAAAAAAACAAAAAAATAACACATAAATAGGGATGAAAGTCATTTGATTTTTAATTTTTAATTCGTGGGGTCTATATTCATAAAATAATAAAAAAAAAATACAGTTTCTGTCGTGGATTAGAAGGATAAAAGTTGTTTGATTTTCAATTTTTAAATCGTGAGACCTACACTCATAAATTTTTTTTAAAAAAAAAAGAGAAAATTAATAGGCTAATATATGGCAACACACTTTCAAATCTAAATATATATGTTAGATAGATACATATTTATTATTATTATTATTATTATTATTATTATTATTAATAACGTTATCAATCATCCTCATCTTTATCTTCTTTTTATTACATATATATTATATTATTAAATTATATAGTATTTATCTTAATGATATTTATCTTTTTAATAATATTTTCAATAATAATAAATATACAAAATAAGAATAATTTGATCTAATTAATATTATTAAATTATAGATTTAATATAAAACATTATTTTATATACTATAAATCAGAGCATTACACCTTGTGAAGATAGGATGCAACAAATGTCAAAATGTAAGTATTATGAGAAATACTTTCATTCAGGGGCGGAGGCACCAAGGGATCCGGAGGGTCCGTCGCCCCCGGAAGAAAAGATTTAAATTTTTTTTTTACCGTTTGTCCCCCTCCCCCTCCCCCCTCAATTTCGTCGGTTGTTAATAGAGCTAAAACAGAAAACTCTGCAAAAAGTCCCCCCTCCAATTTGGTCGGCTCCCCCCTTCCTCCAATTTGGTCGGCTGCTAATGGAGCTCTGCAAAAAGAAATACAAAATGGAAACAAAATAAAAGAAAAAATTAAAAAGTCTGTGTCAGTACCTTATATCCTATTGGTCTATCTGATTATCTCTATCCTCATTATTTATGGATTTAAACAAAGAAATTATTTTTTAAATTCATATATCTATAAATAAAATTATTATATTATTATTTATAAAAAAATATATAATAAATATTATTGTATTTACGCAGAGGCACTGAGGCAGAGTCACAGACAGCCAGACAGTGAGACAGACCCTCCTCTGTCCTCTAATCAATTCAATTTTTCTTCTATCACTTCGTCCTCCCTCCAGGCTCTGGTTCTTCCTTCTCACATTTCTATTTTTTTTTCTTTTCTTGGCCATTTGGATCGAAAATCGACATGAGGAAAATGATTGAAGTTTGAAGGCACTGCGTATCAGAATTTATTTTTTTTTCTATTTAGGTAATTTTATTTTATTTTAACCTAAATACACTATTTTATTTTTTAACTCTAATTTTTAGTTTTGCAGTTTGTCTAATACTACATGTAATATTTGATTTTTGTTCCAGATTTCTCATGTCTCTTGTTGGGTGTGAATTTGTAAGTATATTTTTAGGATTTATATTTTTATAAAATTATATAGTTTGTCTTTATTTGTTTAAATATGAATTTTATTTGTTATGCCTTTTTTTTTAATTAGGGCAAAATGAAAAGATATTTTCTTCCAAAAAGTTCTAAATCAAAAGACGCCACTTCAAGTTCTATCGAGCCAGATTCTAGTATTAATGTTAATGAGATTACAAAAAAGCAGCGGGCATAATTAGATGAGGAGAATGATATTACTGGTGATCCTGGTATTCGAAAACCAATTGAAAGTTATCCCGTTGAAATCAAAGATGAATTGAGGCGACGATATTTGGTGAATGGACCTTGTCAGTCATTAGGACATGATTTTCCGCTAAGTCAATATGGTGAGGGTAAAAGAAAGTTTCAAGAGGCATGGTCCAAAAGTTTTGTCTGGTTAGAATATAGTATGTCTAAAGATGCTGCCTTTTGTCTTTGGTGCTATTTGTTTGGTGAAGGCCATAAACATGGAGAGAATGCATTCACTAAAATTGGATTTAGAAATTGGAAAAAGGCTATTCAAAAATTCAAGGAGCACGAGGGTGGTGGAAATAATTCACATAATTATGCTAGAGCTAAATGCTTTGGATATAAAGATCAAAAGCATAATGTGGATTATGTGTTTGCGCAAAAAAGTAGTGAAATGGAGATTGCTTATCGCACCTGGTTAACTGCTGTTGTTGATATAATTAGATATCTTCTGGGACAAGGCTTAGCTTTTCATGGACATGACGAGTCATCACAATCCGTGCATCGAGGTAACTTTCTTGAACTCATCAGTTGGTATTGTGAGCGGAATGAAGAAATAAATAGTGTAATGAATTCAAATGCTCCTGCCAACAATCAACTGAGTTCTCCGGATATTCAAAAGCAAATTATCAATGCATGTGCAACAGAGGTGAGAAATGTGATTTTGAATGAAATTGGAGATAAATATTTCTCTCTTTTAATTGATGAGGCGCGAGATAGTTCAGTAAAGGAGCAAATGTCGATAATTCTGAGATTTGTGAATGATGATGGAGAAGTGATTGAACGATTTCTTTGTGTAGTATATGTTAGTGATACTTGTTCGCAATCTTTGAAAAATGCCATTGATGAGTTTTTTGCAAAGAATGGATTGTCGTTATCAAGACTAAGAGGTCAAGGCTACGATGGTGCATCTAATATGCGAGGTGAGTTCAATAGACTTAAAGCACTTATTTTAAAGGAAAATAGGCATGCGCGCTATATCCATTGTTTTTCTCACCAACTTCAATTAGTTGTTGTTGCTAGCGTGAGCAAAAATGGGTATGTCTTACATTTCTTTGAATACCTTTCTATGATTGTTAATGTTGCCGGAGCTTCATATAAAATGAGAGATAATTTAAGACAACAACAACATGATGCTCGTGTCAAATGTATAGAAGAATGTGGTGTTTTGACAGGAAAAAGAAAGAATCAAGAAATGGCCTTAGCTCGAGCTGGTGATACTCGTTGGGGTTCTCACTTCAAAACAATTCTTCGACTTTTTCAATTATGGGATGTGGTAAAAAAAAGTGATTCAGGCAGTATTTGAGGATGATGATGATGATCCAAAGAGTCGATCTATTGCGGTTAGTTTGATTGATAAGATGGAGAGCTTTGAATTTATATTCATTGGCCATTTGATGATGCGTTTATTAGGAATGACAAATGTTTTGTCACAAACTTTACAACAGAAGAATCAAAACATATCTCTTGTTGTGCGTTTGATACAATCATTGAAAAATGAATTGGGGGAATTTAGAAATAATGGTTGGGATGAGTTTTTGAAGGAAGTAACTGAATTTTGTTTTAATTATGAGATTTTCGTGCCTAATATGGAAGATGTTATACCGGGTCGGGCAAGAAGAACATTGGATGGGAAGGGAAAGACTTATATTCACCATTTTCATGTAGACATCTTTTTACAGGTAATTAAATTCTTGTTCATTTTATAATGATATTCAATTACTATTTTATAGTATTAATTTTATTTTTTTTTTTACTACAGGTTGTTGATGTTATTTCTCAATAAATGAATGCCCGATTTTCTGAGTTGAATTCTGAGCTGATTATGTGCATAGCTTGCCTTGATCCTAGCAATTCATTTGCTAGCTTTGATCTTGAACAGATATTCCACATGGCTGAGTTGTACTCAGATGACTTTACTGGGGAGAATCTAATGGAATTGAGATTACAACTTCGATCCTACATTCATTATGTGCGAAGAGAATTAAATTTCTCAAATCTTTCTGATATTGAAGGACTTGCAAAGAAGATGGTTGAGTTCAAAGCTGATACTGCTTTTCTTTTGATATATCGACTTATAGTATTAGCATTGGTCTTGCCCGTCATAACTGCAACAGTCGAAAGATCTTTTTCTGCTATGAAGATTATAAGACTGATTTGCATAACACAATGGGAGATGGTTTTCTTGCGGATTGTCTAGTATGTTATATTGAAAAAAATATTTCTGTAAAATGTGAAATCGAAAAGATTTTACAGAGATTTCAGAATATGGCGACCCGACGATTACAATTGTCGCACCGGATGTAAAAAATATTTCCAATATTTCTAATATTTTACTTTTTATTATTAAGAGAAGCCCCTCCGACTTCAATGCTCTGGCTCCGCCACTGCTTTCACTACTTGTTATATTAGGGAACTAGACATATGCTCCCACATAAGAAATTCTATTTTGTTCAAGATATTGGATATACGGGTAAAATTATGTAAATTTAAAAATATTAAATATATGTATAAATTTTTAGGGTTGTATGATTTTTTATTTATTGATTTTTCTTTTAAGATATCGAAGAAGTTGTTAAAGAGTTTCAAAATTACATCAACGGTATTTTAGGCCATAATACAAATAGCATATCCCACTTTAGTCAATAAGGTTCAAATAATATTTCATAATAAGGTATGATTGTAAATAAATTTTAATCTTCCTTAGACAATTATTTGTTAACCGTTGAAGTTATTTTTATAAATTGAAAGTTAAACTGGTGGTGCAAATTTTTATATTTTGTGGTATTTTAATTTAAATATATTTTTTAATTTTTTTAGGTTTGCAACGGTTGAAAAAACACCCGGCCAGGAAAGAAATTAAAGAAAAAATAAAAAATGAAAATGATATAGTCTTTGCGTATGGTCACGCCAACAAAAAAACAAAGGATGATACATTACTCCATGATCATGCTTTGATGACAAAAAATTTGCAAGGATTGTCCGTGGCCACGCCTAAGCAGTCTATCGTCTACTGATCCATCAATTTTTATTCACCGAATTGTAATTATTTCTTTTACAAATGAACAAGAGATAATAAACAACAAGAATAATAAAATGAGACATCAAAATTTTTATGTGGTGAATTCTTTCAATGCGAAGGATAAAAATTACGAGATTTGTTATCCAACTCAAGGATTTACGATTTTTGAAAAAAAAAAAAAAAGTGAAATTAAAACATTAAAAAAAGAAAAATATAACCAACAATTCAACACATAAAATATAAATACCTAGTGTAGTGTATTCGTTAATTAAAAAAATGAAGGCGATAGTAATACAAAATTATTAGAAAGAAATATAGTATCTTTTAATATTATATTAAAATTTTAACAATACATACTTAAAAAAAAAAAAAATTGGTAATCATTACCTAATGTATTTTGGTTTAAATTATTTTTTATCAAAAATTTTAATAATATTAATAAACATTATCTTAATCAAAATATTTATCACTTATACGTCAATAATAATAATAATAATAATAATAATAATAATAATACTCTCTCCGTCTCGTTGAAAGATCGTCATTTTTTATTTTTTTCCGTCCCAAAACAATGTTACAATTTTCTAATTGAATAATTGTACTATCTATCTAACATAATAAATATTCTTCCAACTTACACTATATTACACAAATGTCATTAATTTTATATTATACAATACTAATAAGGATATTTTGTCTTTTTCATTACAATATAATATAATACTAATATTAAAAAAAATCTAAGTGCAAAAAATAACAGGTAACCTTTCTTTCTATCGGATGGAGGGAGTATATATTTCTAATAATCCACAAAAATCTTTACTTGTTAAGAGAGAATTCTTAAGTTTATCTTGTTATGAAAATATATCATGAAATTGAGATTGGTAAAATTCAAACCAAATTTGAATAAAACAGGGATTAAAATCGGAGTTCGAGTCTCGCGTTACATGCGAATTCCTTGAAGCAAATTTGGTCCGTCACTAATTGCTTCCCAAGATAAAACGAACAAAATCGGAATCACATATTCCGAATCGAATCAAACATGGGATTGAAAGGATTTTTCAAAGAGTTTTTAAGGGAAGAAGGAAAATTACAAAGAAAATTCCTAATAATTCCGGTGGAGTTATTAAGAGAATGAGAAGAAGAGAGTTATATTTTAAATTTTTTAATTGAGTTAAGGGGTTATTTTGTATTTAAATACATGAGGAAAAAGTCACTCCCATTAGATCCACACCCATCTTTTGCACATTGCATTCAACCAAAATAAAATAATCAAATAAATAGAAATTACATTAATTGAATTTCACCACAATTGGGCTTATCCCACAAGCCCCAGGCCTTGACTATAGATATTAGCTAGTTCAACCAATGCCCAAACACAAGTCAAGTATATGCCAAGTCAAGTTCCGTAAGGAATGACATAGTGGTGTGAAAGTGGACTTATGGCCGTGGGGTTATGGGTTCAAACCCCCGACGCCTCTAGGTTATCTAACACACATGGTTCGCCTAGTGTGACTTGTCTGTCGTTTAGTCGAAGGTTTACCCAGTGCGTACTTTCGGGTAGCAGCTGCAGGTTCCCATGTCATCAAAAGAAAAAAATAATAATAATAAAGCACAATCTGTCCCGTAAGGGACTACCTAGTGATGTGGGGGTGGACTTATGACCGTGAGGTCATGGATTCAAACCCCCGACGCCTCCAGGTCATCTGCCACGCATTGTTCGTCTAGTGTGACTTGCTTGAGAGTGTATCATTTAAATATACAAATAAAAATAAAGATCATATTACGATTTTTAAAAAAAAAACAGTTTAAATTTAAAGTAAAAAAATGAATAAATATAGACCAACAGTTCTCGTCTTTATGAAAGAAAATATAATACGCAGTTCAGTTCCATTGTAATGATGATACAATTTATTCGTTAATTTAAAAATATAAGATAATAGTAAATCAAATTTGTTAGGATAAAACCATAATATTTTTAAATATTATCTTTAATAATACTACTTCCATCCAAAAGAAAAGTATCGTTGGATTTTAGCGTATAGATATTTGAATATTAATTATTATAAAAGAAGAATATTATTGACTTCTTGCGTATAGATATTTAAATATTAATTATTATATTAATAAATAGTACAAATCAAGAAATACATCGAATGCATTTGATGATTATTGCATGTCGATTGAAATTAATGTAGAGCACCCAGTTGCTCATGTTCATACACAAAATGGTCTGGTAGAATCACTTATTAAAAGATTGCAATTGATTTCTAAACCATTACTGATGAGATCTATGTTACCCGTTTTAGCTTAGGGGAATGCAATCATATATGCAGGAACACTTATAAGAATGAGGCCGACAAGGTATCATAGTTATTCCCTTATGCAATTAGTATTTGGTCACGAACCAAATATATCTTATCTACGTATTTTTGGGTGTACTGTTTATGTTCCTATTCCACCCTCAAACGTACAAAAATTGGTCCTCAACGTAGATTGAACATTTATGTCGGATATAAATCGCCGTCAATTATAAAATATCTTGAACCTATGACGAGTGATTTATTCACTGCAAGATTTGCAGATTGTCATTTTGACGAATCATATTTTCCGACATTACGGGGACACAAAAATGAACCAAAAAGGAATATTAATTGGAAAATCCCATTGAATTTTTGTGATTCTCGTACAAAGAAGTGTGAACTAGAAGTTCAACGCATTATACATTTGCAAAATATTGCAAATCAGTTACCAGATGCATTCAATGACTCGAGTAAAGTCACTTGATCATATATTCAAGCTGCTAATACTCCGGCTAAAATAATTGTCCCTGATGGACAAATTGGAAGTGCTAATGAACTAGTGACACGCTTAAAACATGATAGACCACTTGGTTCCAAAGACAAACATCCTTGAAAGAAAGAGGAATTAATGATGATAATCATGAAAATATCAGGAATGACATTGATAAACCTCAATCTAATGAGGAAGTCAACCCTGAAATAATTGCTCCAGAAGATCACGATCTTGAAGAATATGATGAGATTATTGAAAACTCAATTAACTATGTTACTTTAAGAAAATGTTGGAACCATAAAGAGACAATTATTGATAATGCCTTCGCATACAGTTTAGCACTTGATATAATGGAAGATAATGAGGATCCAGAGCCAAAATCGGTTCATGAATGTCGGCAAAAAAATGACTGGCCAAAATGGGAACATGCAATTCAATCAGAGCTTGACTCATTGAACAAAAGAGAGGTCTTCGGACCAATTGTTTAA